AAAACATAACTTCACATTCATCAATGTATCAATATCTCAATTACAATTATGCTCTTGAAAACAATTACATGCCAAAGGACTTAGCTGCCAAAGAGACATGATCAAAGCCATTACCCATAAACAATATGGAAATTACCATTGCAATGATCATGCACTAAGTCCTCCGAAATACATCATATGGCCTCAAAATAAATACATATACACATGATGGTGCAATTGGCCTACACCAATAACAACTCTAAATGGCATGCATTTCAAAATGTCCAGCTATCAGGTACAATTTACTCATGTTTCTTGCCTCGTTCAACCTTACCTCTATCAGTACCTGAAATGATGCCTCACAACACGAGATACGAATATATCACAATAAACCAAGAGTTCTTGGATATCACTTCACCCTAAGGTTCACTTTCAGTGTACACATAATAATAACAGCTTAACACATTCTTAACTTATAATGACCGAGTTGCTGACAATAATGACAACGAGGTCGCTGACCACGTCCTCCTTGGCCTCTACCACGACCACGACCACCCCCAATGTTCCCGCGAAAGTTAGTACGGGAAACTAGAGCAGGGGAGTCAACAACAGAAGATGATGCCAAAGAAAATTTCTTATTAAGGTTCAGAAGACGTTGATACGTCATTGATAGATCAGGATCCCCACTGGTCAAGATAGTATCCCGGACATTGTCATATTCTTCGGGAAGACCAGAAAGTGTGGCAACCATAAAGAGACGTTCCACCTGTTTCCGATATGCAGAAGCATCAGTAAGGTAGGGCAACATATCCAAATATGCCTGCATCAGAGATCGACTTTTGCCAACATATGTCTCCATCTGAGTGTCAGATGATTTGCACAGATCCATAAACTGAGCCATGATGGAATAGAGCTGCTGAACATCATTAGTGTAGAGGTGTTTTGCTTCCTCCCACACTTCATTGTATGTTTGAAAAGAATAGAAAATATCCAAGACAACCGGATCAATAGACTGCCAAAGGATACTCAGAAGCTGGTTGTCAATCCTTTCCCAATCAGATTTTTCTTCCTTAGGAATATCAATAGATTTAGTTGTGAGGTGGTTCCCATGTCCCTGTCCAAAGAACCAAACTCGAAAAGAGGTGGCCCAATTCTTGTAATTAACAAAACCCTTCAGCTTTGAGGAGGTAATAGGCCCAACATTGGTGGAGATGATATTAGGGGAACTTTTGGCAGGACGAGAGGGAGAAGATGCTGCCATTATAATAAATCACAAGGGTATACAACCAAGTGAATAGAAACTAACCTGATCGCAAATCAAGAAGAGGCACGCACAAAAAGTGATACCAACAAAGAACCAACCACAGATCTGGAAAGAGGAGGAGGAGGCGGCTTTTTCTGTCCAAGAACGACCGGAAAAGGCTGCCAGAACAGTGCACAAGTGTCGGTGGAAGGTGGCGCACAAGCACCACGCGCAGAGAAGACGGGCGGCGCGTGGAGGCGCGTGACTGATGCGACGGTGGTCGGACCTCTACAGAACTGGTCTCCGGGAGGAAAGGGTCTTGATCGCAGGTGGTTTGGTTCGAAAACTAGTCAGAAAACTTCTCCGGCGGCTGGAACAGTGACGGACGGTGGTTCTGGTGGCAGTCGGAGGTGCTGATGCGTTCGGAAATCACTCAGAAGGGGCTTACAACCCTAGATGGCTTGCTGGAAGGACGCACGGCAAAGAAAAGAGGACTCCTAAGCAATGGGCTTAGGTTTTAAAGCGAAAACGAAGTTTTAAGCGAAAGCGAGGGTCCCAAGAACAAAAGAGCTCTGATACCAACTTGAATATAAAATAATATGTTGTGTATTAAGCTAATACAAAGAGTTACAATATATAGAGACCCTAATGGGCTTAAGTGAGAAGCCCGACCTAATAGGAAGAGAATATTTACAAATAGAAAAGTAATCTATACAAATCTAAACCAAATCTATATGTCTAATATTTCCTATTCTAACATCTCTCTCTATAATGGTGGTATGCTTAATAAGTCATTAGCTTTCTGAATGATATCACCATTTTAAGAGCAGGTCTCTAAAGTCTCACTTTTAGTCTTCACAATTTGCATAGCATAATTACTTCTATTAAAACTTTTGGGATTTCTTTGGAAGTAATGACTGATATTTCAAAATATTGATTGCAGATGTGGATTCTTGCAAATCCTCTAAAGAATGAGGGTGCTGAGTACTCTAAGAGGAGGGCCATTTATATCAGTAATCATGCATCTTCAGTTGACATATTTCTTTGATTCTGCGCTATTCACCAATGACTACTTCATTTTTTTATCGTGCCTACTTGAATTTCTTATGGCAGTAGAGCCTTTAAGAGAAGAAGATACTACAATCGACTAATATTTCCTAAGATAAAAGAGAACAAAATGAGGATTTTTTTTTAATGGAGTTTTGGAAAAAGTGCTATAAAAATTAGGCATCAAAATTGTGCAGTATAAAACATCTGGGAGGATATTTGCACATGCAATATGAAATTGGCAGTATAGTTGTCGGAGAATTACATTTTTGATAGTTTCAACTTTCATCAGTAAAATTATGAAAACTTTCCAAGCACATGTTACTCAGAGACTACTCTGATCTGATTATATGCCAAATTCTATGCAGATTCAACCACTGTGGAGACACTACTTTCAGAACACGCAAGGTCTTATATTTGTGGTAGATAGTAACGATTTGAAAGAATTTCAGAAGCTGGGAATGAGCTCGATAGGATGTTGAGTGAGATCAGTAATTTAAATAATACAAGCTTTGCTTTTAGACATAAAATTTGTGGTGGATAGCCCACATACAACCACCGGGTCCGGTCTAAAAGGCCCACTTCTAAAAGGCAGCATAGGATTCCCCTTCTTCCCCGTGCACATTGTTGTCCTTGCACATTGGCAGGTGAACAACATGCCTGCCTGAAAAAGCTAGGCTGGCTAGGTTGGCTGGCTGGAGCTCCCACTCTAAATATCCCCTCTCACATTGAGAAAAGGTTTCTTCTCCTCCATTCAGCTTCATGTTGCTACCATGGAGAGATCCTAGCCACTCTCACACACACAACCTTGATGACACCATGGGAAGTTTCACTAGTGCTTTGGTCTCTATTACTGCCATTATGGACACCCCCTATATTAATATACTTCACCCCTCCATTCACCCCTCCATGGGATACATTTATGTACACCATTAGTACAAAATTTAAAAGTTGTTGCAATCATCTTGATAAGCATGTGCATTGCAGGATGAACTATGAGATGTTACACACTACTGGTATTTGCCAATAAGCAAGACCTTCCAAATGCTTTGAGTGTTTTAGAAATTACAGATAGACTTGGTTTACATTCACCTCGCCAATCTTTTCAGCACCTCCTAAAATTAGCTTGTCAACTGGGGTAAGAAATGCCTCTGCAGCTTCCAAGGCATATTTGTACACAGGCGTACAAGTTCAAGAGCAACAGTGCATCAAGAAGACGTAATGAATGTATGAATTGCATGAGGCAAAACCACTGACACCTTGAGCTCAACAACTATAGGATCATGACCAAATCCAAATAGCATAAAACATGCAGCTCAATAACTACCACTTGGAGCGACAACTTTGCAGAACGCTTTTTGATATGAAATTTTTGTAACTAATTCCAACATAGCAAGCCCTCATGAGAATGTACCTTCCAATTTTCTAGCTTGTACTATTAAAAGCTAAACCTTAACTTTGCACCTTTTCCCTGTGTCAAGAACGTCTATATGGCTGAAATTAAAACATATCCTACATTGCGATTCATTAGACCAATTAGATGGTGTTCATGTCTTTAAATGATTGGTTCTGCTCATTTGTATATTTTGCAGTGTCATCAACTTCATTAATACACCAGGTTGGTCATAAGTTCAGGTTAGAGATATTTAGAGTGCATATATTATTACACACTTGTAAATAAAAGATAAAAAAATAATTTTTTTTTTTTATTTGAGCAATAAGGTGAACATCAATTCAAATCAGTTAAAATGTTTGTCTTGCAAGTTGCAAGTTGGAAAGTATAAGGTGAAGAACAATTTAAACCAACTAAAATGTTTATCTTGCAAGTTGCTTTAATTTTAAGCCAATGGTATATTTCGAGGACCTTGAATAATTATATGCATACGAAAAATAATTTTTTTTAAGTGAGTTTGTTTTAAAATAAATAAATAAATAAATAAAGGTATATTTTTATTTAATCTTGAAAAAAAAATAACACAACTAATTAAAACCAGTTTTGAATTTAATAATCGACTTATAGTTCATAATCGGTTTTGATTTAAAATAGATTCAAAATCAATTATAAATCATATACCAGTTTTGGAACCACTTTGAAAAAATGAAAAACCAATTTTAAAAAAGGAAATCAGGTTAGTTTTCAAACCAAGCCACTTAAAACCAACTCAGTTCGATTTTTGTTAATAAAAAAAATCCCTTCATGCACACCCCTATTCATCAGTGTGTGAATCTCCATGTGCATTTAGACCATATTATTATCCTTAAAGTTAATCATATCATAAGGAGAAATAAATGACACAAGATTGTTTATCTCCATCACCAGTTTATCAAAACCCAAGTTTGTCATTGTAGAATGCTGAATCAGAAAACTATTCAGAAATTACCTGACAAAACAAATTTCCGTCTTTATTATCCAACTTTACTAATACCCATTTTCCTCTTTCTTGAAATAATGTTGCCGCCAATTAAGATTATTATTAAGTAGAATATGGTTTTCAAATTATGAAGTCAAGATAATTTACTAACATGTAAAAAATAAAATCTTATAATAGTAATTTTCTTACTAATTCACAATCTAATAGCATTCAATTCTCTAACACAAGCAAAAATTGCCACTACTAAAGCAACGGATTGAATTCTTGTATATTTTCTTCTAGAATTTTTTTTTAATCGTGCACCTCATTCAAGCACTCGAATCTTTGTACACATCTTGTTTTGTTTCATTTATGTGGAAGATCAATGTATACGGCAACTAAAATTAGTCACATCCATATAGCAGATTACAAGAAAATTTACCGTTGAACATGAATCTTAATTCACTCTATCATCCAACTAATTGCATTACTGGAGCAGGAAGAAAGGAAAACAACTACAAGCGTAATTGCACGTCTAATATCAACAATACCTTTATTTCAAACACACCCACACGTTTATCCCAAACAAGCCCATTTCCTCATGCGTGACAATAAACCTTTATGATGTTGCTGTTGCACAAATTGTAGTTCAAAAATTCTCCTGTCCATTCCTTCCCTCTCCAGTGCTTCCCATGCCTTTTTCTTCTCCTCCTCTGAATCCTCCGTCTCGTTCCGAATCTCGCAGGGTATTGGCCTCATCATATGCTTTTTCACTGTAAAAACCATCATCCTCAGAATAGGATTCAAGTTGCCGATCCTCTATATAGTATCCCACAAATTCCCGAAATCTCACAACCCATCCTTCGTCACGTTCAGAATCAGGTAATTACTACTCAGATCAGGATTAGTGAATCGAATATCCTCCGTGCTATTTTTGTCTTTGAATACATGGATTCCAATTCGTGATTCACACTTAACCTCCACACGGTTCCATTCATTTTTTAAAGGCACTTCATCCAGCTTAATATGATCTTCTGGTTGCATACCAAAAAGATATGTATGATCCCATAGCTGGTTGTCAGGCCAACCAGTTTCGAAACCTTTGTTGCCATTGATGATCAAGGTGGTTGCATTATTCCAGTCATTTCCAAAACACAGAGCAGCAATGGCAGGGAACTTGTTACGAAACCAGAATGAAATTGGCCGTCTCATGCGGTTGCTGGACTCAAACCACTCTGGCATCCCTATAATTCCAGGCAAACAAAACCTGGTGTTTCCAGCCTCATGAAGTTTCTGTTATTCATAAATAATTCATAAGTCTAGCATTATTAACTACACTATCATCAAATCAAATCAAATACATAAAAAAAAAAACAAAACCTGATCCAGTAACTTGCTTATAGACTTGAAAGTCAAGGATGAGCATTTTGCTGCAGAGAAATGATTTAAGTTTGGTGGAATCCCTCTAATTTCTCGAAGTTTCCAGCAATCATCCAAATTAAGCTTCCTTAAAAGGTGACATTCTTTGATGCATTCAGGAATAATTGTAAATTTATTCCCACTTAGGTTTAAATATTTCACATTAGCAAACCAGGTGAGACCCATTGCAAGAAATTCATCTGACACGTTGCACGACTTGAGCTCAAGACGTTCTATGTTTGAAGACACCATTGAGCCCACTTTTGGCAATGAACCCAAGTTCAATCGCATACCCACAATCACAGCCAGTTCTCGCATTTTGACAATGCTACTTGGTAACTGAACAATTCCACAATCTGTGGCACGTAATTCTCGAAGCCCGGTAAGATTTTCAAATGAAGATGGCAATTCTTTTATATGGGTTTGAGACAAGTCAAGATATTTTATATTTTTCATCTCTCCTAATATTTCTGGAAAACTCTCAAGTCTAGAGCATCCCACAAGATCGAGTTCTTCAAGAGAAGTCAACTTCAAGGGAGGAAAAGCTCGAAGCCTTGTGCAATATGAACAATTCAATATTCTAAGTTTATCCACTAACCCAACTGAATCATGAATTGTAGTTAATTTCCAACAAAGGTGAAATGACAATTCTTCTAAATGTGGGAGACCAGATACATCAGGTATATGTGTTAGACCTCCACAACTGTCAAAACGTAAAACTCTAATATTCACACACTTCTGAAAAAAAGAAAAAAAGAAGAAGGAATAAGAATCAAATGAATAATATTAAAACGAACTTATTAATACATAAGATCAGGGAAATAAACTCGTTACACTTGCCTGCAATGACTCGGGTGACGTAAAACGACTATAAAATATTTTGCATATGAAAAGTTTCTTTGGATGAAAATCAGATGGTAAATATTGTGAAGGATATCCCTCCCATTCCAGTATTCTTAAACTATTTGGAAGATGTTCCGGAGGTTTTGAAAAACAACCACCACTAATAATAAGTGTCTTGAGGTTTTTCATCTTCGCAAATGCCTTTCCACTCCATCCCACTTCTTTATCAAAATGGGGGGGTTTCCAATATATGATTCCAATTTTATTAGTTCCCTATTAATCACAAAAAGTACAAATTAGCCACAATACATGTATATATGCAAGACTTAAACAGACATATTTAGAAAAATTTATATATTATAAAGGATAAAAAACAGTTGTGACTAGAGCATGTAATAATTTGAAGACATAAATAAGGTAAAATGTGAAAAATGAAACTATCTATATCAATTTTACTCACCATATCTTCTTCTAAAACATCAACAATATCTTTATGGAACCATAACCTACTGCGTTCCCCAGGATTATTTGGTGATTCCTGTCGGACAATTTCTTTACCCATGTCTTCTATCAAGTCATGTAGAGTCACCTTACCATACAAATCAATTTTTATGAGAGACTTTTCAACCAACACTTTAACATGATAGTTCATACCCTCACCATAATGAGCATTAAGAATATCTTGGACATTTTCCAATGGATATCCTTTGAAGCAACAAGCAATGTCAAGAAAAACACTCTTTTCTTTTCCCTCCAAAGCATCATAGCTTACTTTAAGTATCTCTTGGATCTTTTTATTGCCATTTTTTTCATACTCATTTAGAGCAGATTCCCAATCTCCTATACTTTTTCCAAACATGTTGGATCCTATTACTACCAAAGCCAATGGAAGGCCAAAAGTATGAGTTAACGCACGATTTAAAACGTTGGTGTAACTTGGATCAACTGAGTCAGTTTTAAAAGCATTCCATCTTAGCAGTTGAAGAGCATCTTTTCTATTCAATTCCTTCGCCTCATAAATTTTTTCAACCTTGTGACATGCTAGCAACTGTTTGTCCCTAGTCGTGATTATGACTCTGCTGCCAGGACCAAACCAATTAGGACTTCCAGCAACAGCATCTAACTGCTCCAGTTTGTCAACATCGTCTAAAATCAAAAGAACCTTCTTTCTGTGGAGCCTATTCTGTATTTCTAAAATTCCTTTTTGGATACTTGCAAACTCAATTTTCTTCCCTCCAAACATTTCAGAAAGAAGGATCTCTTGGAGATGTGATAACCCTTTACTGTTTGAGTTTTCTCTCACATTTTGAAGAAAACATAAGCAGGTAAAATATTCAGCAACAGAATTATAAACTGCTAGACCAAGTGTCGTCTTTCCAACTCCACCAATTCCATGGATCCCTACCATGTGAACCCTATCATCAGATTCCATATCCATAAGCAACTTTACTTCTTCTACTCGAGACTCCAGTCCAACTGGGTGCTTTGCAACAGATAAAGGAACACGATTAATCTTGCTGGAGACGTCTTTGACGATCCTCTCAATAAAATCGTACTCATATGATCTGTCCCTGTTCAGTCAGACAAGTTTAAACTAAAAGCCTCATATTCATGTCTTGACACTTATAATTCAAAGTGTTTGATATACAATGATTTAACATGTTCAAGCTAGGTTAACAAGCATATTTCTTTTCTCTTTAAATGTTTAGAGTAAATCATTAGACAAATGAAAATTAATAAAAAAGGTAAAAGATTGGTGAGGTAGGATACCCATGTTCTAAATGAAAGCCAGACAAGTTAGCTACTAGCTGTAGAGCCGTCCTCCATTTCTGCAACCTCTCCTTATTAGCGTTGAACTTCTTTTCATGATTAACCAATGCTTCTCCGTAACTACATCTCTGATGTCGCACATCAGAAGGATCCACCTTATAAAAAATTGGAAAAACCAAACGACCCTTTCTATAAACATGGTCAATGATGTTGGAAAGTTCTTCTAAGCAAAATGAAGAAGATGCATAATTCTTAGACAGCACAATAATAGCATTCCTGGAGTCTTTGATGTCCTTGAGAAGTGATGATGTGATTTCCTCCCCTCTCTGAAGCTCCTCATCATCAATGAAGGTACGAATTCCCGCGTCAGAAAGAGCTTTGTAAAGATTGCCAGTAAAACCGTAGCGAGTATCAGTGCCTCTGAAACTGAGGAACACATCGTAGAAAAAGGAAGAGGAGGATGCCATCAGAGTAAGAGTAGAAAGCTGGGTCTCCAAAATTAAACGAGAATGGATTAAAAAGAAAAGTGTGAAGGAGAATAATAATTGAAATGTCTTTCATATTTTCTTTTTTCTCGCTCTTTCTTTTTTATAATTTTATATGGACTCCATACTATTTACACGACTAACAATAATTTTATCTTCTAAACAAAAACTAACAATAATTAGTAATTACTATGACACGGATTACCCTCCTTCGTCCCAAGCGGACCACACTTTAATTGAAAGACCACAGATGGATTTTCCACATTCACGGTTGCGATGGATTTTCCAGTGTTGGGACAATCAGGACTGCAATTTCTAAGGGTGGAATACAGCTGTCGCCCCCTAATCCCAAGCAACCAATGGACCAGATTTCCTCTCCATTGTAAGCAGCATCTGCGTCGTCCAAATACTGCAAGGACTGCATCGCGCCACATCACCACACTGAACAGGGAGGGGTGTTGAAACTTGAATCAGTAAGACTTGAGGACATGTCCGATTTTGAATGCGGCGGTGATGTAATGCACCAATCTTGATGTTTAAGCCCAATTGCAAAATGAGACCAGCAACAAAAGGTGAGTAGAAGACCTCGCCATTTTTTTTCTTTTTATAAATCATATGGAGGCAATCTTGTATGATTAAAATTTTAAATTTCTTCCAAAAATAATATTAAAGAAGATCGAATACATATTCCTATCTCCGGTTCAACTCCTAGGGCCGTTTGATACGAGCAAACTGTGGGTACTACCGTTGTAGGTAGTACCATTCTCAAATTAAAAAGCAATAGGAGTATAAAAGGAAATGAATAAAAAATGAAGGATTAAAATTGAATAAAAATTTCTTATTTTAGTAAAATGAGGTACCCAACTTGGTACAACCGTGGTATTAAAAGAATTTCCGTTTGATACAAGGGATTTTTTGAAATTCTCGGGACACAGAAACTGATAATCTTATTTACCCGTGTTTGGTAAAATTTATGAAAATTTGATTTTTTTTGGGATTTTATTTTGCGTGTAAGGTGATATTTTTGGATTTCTACGGCAAGAGACAATTTAATACAACTAAACATAACATCAAGAAAATTAACCCAACATTTTCAGAATATTTTAGTCTACCAAACAACTTTTTGGTAACATCCCAAAAAAATTATTTTCTCATCATATTCTTAAAATTCATAATTTTCAGATAAAAAAAAATTATTCTCTGCCAAACACCTTATTTGATCGCCTTGCCATTTCAAGGGCTTCATTATGTACTGATGGGAATAGATACATAAAGAATTGTTAATTCTGTTTACTGTTTTTAAATTACTTGATAAGTCAAAATACAATCTAACAAACTATAAAATATAAATAGCCTGGTCGGCCTAATAAAGGGAACACGAATCGTTTCAGCTATCCTTCCTCCTCTCCTCCTTTTTCTCTCTAATTCTCTTTTCTTGCTTTCTCACTTTTCTTCAATTCTACTCTGACAGTAGCTTTTCTTTTTATTTTTCTTTTGTTAGTGCTATAAATATAAATGTTTCTAAACATAAATTGATGCCACATGATGTTTATCTTGTAGACTTTGTTCCCATAAATCATAAATCTTGTAAGAGTGACTGTGTAAATTTTTTTAATTATGCTTTATACAAAGTGAAAATATAATGCATGTCCCATATTAATTCCATTTTTTGAACAACTCCCATTTTTTTTTCTTTTTTCTTTTTGTTTTTGGGGGGTGGGGGGGTTGGATTACATTATTTCTCCGGACACTATTGTAAGATTAACATTTTAAGAATAGGTCTAACTAGGAGGCAATTCAAACTTTAATGTTGTCAAGATGCGCCACTTGATTATGAATACACTCAACTTTATTAGTAGACTTTTATTTTTGAAACAAAATATACAAATAATACGTAATAAGTAATAACAGCATATCATTAGTCTTTTTTTGCGGCTGATAAGACTATCGCCTTCCTTTGGCGCGTACGATAAATGCAGATAAAAAGCAAATGTTATGCACATTATGAAACGGGGACATAGCAGTTAATTAAAATCTGGTCTTAAGAACACGCTTTCTTATTATCGACTAGAAATTTGAAGAAACGAAAGGAAACAATAAGAAAAGGGAAAGAAAAAGATTCAAACCAACTTCTACGGGCCAAAGTTTTATCTACCTTGCATAATATTCTGCATTGAGTATTGGATCTTAATTTTATTTGTGAGTGTAGAAAGATTGTTTTACCTTATGCAACATAAGAAAAATAATAATTTTAATTTATTAAATACATGAGTCAAATAAATCAATAATTTAGATTAAATCTAATTTTTTTTCTATTCTTATAGTAATTAAAGAATATACCGTCCCAATTCGATATATTCGTACAAATCTCATACAAAAGTCAAATAACTTTCTATACTATTAAAAAGGATTTATAAATGGCTTGAGGTTCCCAGCAATTTCATTTTATTTATTTAATATTTATAATCATTACTTGCAGAATTAGTAAAATTATCATTTTTGATATTGAAAAATATACAAATAATTCTTCAATTAATTACAAATTAAATCAGGAAACATAAGAAAATTACCAAATTTTTTCTTTAAATTATGTAAATATTAGCCTAATTGATATCTTAAACTGCTTTTGCATATTAACGTTTAGATTTTTTTTTTTATAAATGCAGCATCCTTTTCTTAGTTAGCTTATGTTTGGTTTAAAGAATGGAAATCAAGCTTTCCTGAGAGGGAAAAAATTAACCTTTTTTTATCTCCAATCAAATCATGATTTGAGATTCAAATTCATAGTTGAAGATAATTTAATTATAAATCAACAACGTATGTTAGTGCAAGAACCTAAGAATAATAAATTTAAAAAATAAATAAATTTTATATCTAATTTTAACTATTGATCTACTTTAATCTAATGACTTTAATTTATTAATCACATGAGTATTTATATATGTGGAATCAACTATTGAAATTGAAAGTAAAATTTATCCTGCAAAATAGTTTTTTTAATATGAAAAAAAAATTCAAATGAAGTAATCAACATAAGGTTTAACTATTTTTGTTTTAATTGAAATGGTAAATAATAATTACCTTGTTTAATGATACCAATTTTTTTTCCTGAAATATAGTGTTTATATTTAATTTATAATTAAATTTTTTAAAGAAAACTTTTGAAAAAAAAATTACCTCTAAAAATTAATTGGTTAAGAAATGGTTATTCTTTAATTTTTTTTTAAAATTATTTTTTATTTATGAAAAAAGTATTAAAATAAAATTTTAAAGTTTCTACTTATAAAAAATATTTAATTTTTTGAAAAAAATAATAATAATTAATTCAAAAAGCAGAAACAAGTGCACGCTAAAACATGCATTTGTTTCTCTCATGTGAAGTTCGTCTAATAATTTGATGCAATTAGAGAAATGATAATCTCAGTTAACGTGTAAAATAAATACAAATTATTTTTAAAATTAAAATAAAAAAATTAAGTATACTGATTGATTCCTGATCGTGTGTATGAAAAATATTTTACTAATAGAGCCAACTTCGGTGATCTCTCTACTCATCAGATTAATCTTCAGCTATTGGTAGAGTGTAAGTAGATTAACTTAGGCGAAATTTTAACTTAAATAACGTAGGTCTATGTAAAATATTTTAGGCCTAATCTGTCTTGTTAGTCTTATATAGACTCAAATTATAAGTCTGGCTAGACTATGCTCGCGGTCTAGATTGGATCGGTTTTGGAAGCAAAAATCATCTGATCCGATCCTTTCGGTTTGATCATGTAATCATCCGTTCGGTTTGAATTTTTTTTCAAATCAGATATGATCCAATCCAATCCAATTTTTTTGGGTTTGGATTGGATCAGTTTTCGATTTTTTTAAAATCTTAAAATTTGTTTGATGCAAATAACATCTTTTGTATATATTGGCTTTGTAATATTTTTTTAAATACAAAAGCATCAGTAAACGATAATATAGTTTTTTTATTGGACAATGAGACATGAAGCTCTACATAGATGAAATTTTGTTGATGAGATGTGACTAATTTTTTTCTTGGATTTAGTTGATTGGTTAATGAGTCTTGGGTTTAGAAATTTTTGGGCTATGATTGGGGAAAGACCCAATTAGGTAGAGGAAAATTAATATATTGGATCGGTTTGGTTGGACCAGTTTTCATCTACCAATTCGAAAACCGATCCAATCCAATTAGAATTTTCAGTTTTTTTTTCGGTTTGCGGTTTTTCGATTTTCGGTTTATTCGATTTTTGATTTTTCGATTCGGTCACCGCGGTTTGAATCAGTTGATAACCACCCCTACGCTAGACTTATATTTAAAAACAAAAGTCTTAGCCTACTAGCATGTTTAAACAAATTAAATATTTAATAATTAAAATAATATTGCTTTATTATTCAAAATTATTAAAATAATAATTTTACTTTTTTATTTAAAATAAATAATATGATATAGGCTGACCTGTAGGCTTATACCCCTGCATATAAAAGAAAACCTATAACCTATTTTCTGGATAAGCTTTTTTAAAAATCTAAGCATGCTTTATTTGACTATATTTTAAAATCTGACCCGACCTACTCCATTTACACCTCTAATTATCAGCCAAGGGATATCTGTGTTATACTCGAAAAAAATTAGTGATGAAAAAAAAAACTTAAGAGAAAATAATTAAAAAAAACAATAGCACAAAAAAAATTGATTTGTGATTTATCCAAATTCAAATGCATACAATCTAACTAGATATTCAAATAAACAAATTTTAACAACATGTTTAGAATTTTAGGGGGTTTATTGGATTGAGATTTCAAAGGATTTTAATGGATTGTTTTTGGACAAAAAATCTGTTGGTATTCTGTAGCAGGCCCAGATAATGAGAGGCCCAAACGCATGACAAAGCCACCAGCCCATCTCCAAGATTATGTTTAAATCTTTATTAGCTAGGAGTCTTTACTTTTCTTATTTAATAATTATGCAATTATCAGTTTGTTAGTTAGTTGCAGATAGGAATAATCCTTAAGTTATCCTTATCTTCAATTTGTTATTTTTATTTCCAGTAGTTAGTTAGTAGCTAGCATTCCTTAGCCATTAGGTTGTTATTTGTTTTACTATAAAAATCCTGAAAAAGATCAATAAAAGTCATTGGATGTTTGATCGCAATTCTTCTTCCTAA